CCCATCCCTGGATAATGGTAGGGTAAGCCCGTGTGTATGGGTTAGCCGCCTTCATACCCATCGGGCTTACAACCCATCGAGCAACAAGATTACAATACCTCTTGCTGCTCGAAGCCCCCAACCATCGCTATCATTATCCTTCTTATTTCGCTACTTTCTTTCTTTCTTTCCTTTCTTTCTTTCCTTCTTACGACTTTCAGATTAAATCCATCCCATAGATTAGATTACCACTATCAGTACTAATATTAATTGATCAAACTATCGTCACACTCACTACAAATTCCACTCTATTAGAAAGACCTCGAGCGAACCACACAAGATTTGAATTTGTTGTGCTTATTCTTGAATGGGCTAGGCGTAAGTCGTTTTTGTTCGATGTCTTCCCGCTCGGTGATTAAAAGATTCTCTCCAGATCGAGATGGTGTGGGGACCATCCGCCGCATACATGGTTGATGTAATGCATGCACGCAGTGTGGAATGTATCGCTGGTAACGCGTAAGTGGGTACTTGCGACTTGGTTTGGAAGTTTGTTCATGTAGATGGTTCCGATTTCTCGCAGAGGACTTCGGTCGGCGCTCATGGCGATTGGAGTGGGGACAATATTGCCGATGATCAATTCGTGGGGAGTGGTGGTTACGAACACGCTTGCTTCGTCGATGGCTATTATCGGTTTTGCGTGAGTCTCTCTTGTTTCTCATCGGAGGACTTTATGCTGATGATTGCTGGGTTTAATGTAGACTTCTGTGGTGCTTGATTAAGTATGGGGATGAGCTGAGAGCAGTCGTGGATGTTGGTTTCTCGCCGTCTGGGTCCAGTGTCACACCTTGATCAGAGACTCAAGGTTTGGCTTGGGTGTATTGATTTACGGAGTCCATATTATTCAGACAAATAGCAGGATCATCGGTGTACTTAAATAGTTTATCATTCTTTCTGGGGGCAGCCACATGCCAATTGCTTCCACCACATGCCTTCGGCAATAAAAAATCATCCGAAATGCCAATCGGACCGCGCGGACCAAGTCAAAGTCCGAACATACTAAGTATGTGCATACAGCAATGACTCGAACCCTGTGGAGTGTCGGCGACCTATTTTGAACCCCGCGTATTTGGTGCGATTTTTCGGTTTGGTGGTTGACTCATTCGCCTCACACAGGGACGACTTGACGTTCAACCCCAACTTTGACCCAATCCCACCATTGGGGTCGCAATGTTACCTCAGGAGTCAACTCCCCTTTTGACCAACGACGCGGAATCTGGAGTCGTTGAAACCACGAAAGATGGGGCTGCAGGCGACATCTACGATCATTTCAACAACAGGAGGAAATGGAGCATTTTGGCAATGGTGTCGGCCTCTGGATTGCTGCCTCGTAAGTTCCATGATTCGTTTACAAGTCTGTTAAGTGCTCAACGTGATTATTTACCACCAGTATTTGTGGGGGGAAGCTTTGTGCCCTCAATACCGCAAATCGCGAGAGACCTGGACTCGACTCCGACAATCATCAGTATGGCGATCAGCATCTCGATTCTCGCTTCGTCAATTGGCGCGATGTCTGGTGCGACGTATGCGGGGTACTGTGCGTGTACACTGTCTATATGAACTTTCATGCTTTGACGTTGATTGGCCGTGTTAGATGGGAGATGACCAGCATTCTTGTGCAGCCTTCCGCTCCTATTCATAGGTTCGACGGGGGTAGCACTTTCGAGAAGCGTACCCTCTCTCATGGCTTGGAGGTTTGTACAGGCGATGGGCTGCGCCCCTGGGCTCTCAGTGAGTGCAGGAGTGATCGGAGACATATATCGCTTGGAGGAGCGAGGACGCGCTATGAGCATCTTCTTTTCTGTATGTGAGATTTACCAGACTCGTCGCAGTCGCCGCTCGTATAAAGTACGCGTTGATGTTAATGACACTTACCTGATAGGCATGCCTACTTGGACCAGCTTTGGCGCCTATCACTGGAGGCTTTGCTGCGCATTATGCATCATGGAGGGTTATGCAGTTCATCCTAGGATGCATTGGGCTAATTCTCTTCGCGGTTATGCTTCGGTATCTCCCGGAGACAAGTCATCCTGGAGCGAGGAAGGTTGACAAGATTAAGATGAACCTTGACGCTACAAATGATGTGGATGCTGCACAAAACGGGGTTCAGAAGCGCCCCGTGCGTTTTGAGCATCCTGTTCTACTGAACCCCCTCGCGCCGTTGCGCCTTTTGAGGAGTCCTGTCCTGATAGCCCTGGTATGTCACGGTTTTATTTTGACGTGACGTGAAAACCTTACGCACCCTAACAGGGTCTCATTACGACTATATCCTTGTTCACGTACCACGGTTCGAAGCCTTACGGTCGTAATTGGCACTGTCTAAAGCATCATATTTTCTAACAGTTCTTCTTATACCACTGGTATACACATTGGTGGGTGACTTTCTCTCAGCGTCACTCAATCCTTGACTAAGGATCAAGTTTGTGTTTACCTAGGGTACGCGATATGGAATAAGCAACGAAGCCCTGATAGGCGCTTGCTTCATTCCAGCAGGATTGGGAGACATGAGTGAGTCCCTCGCCCATTCCTCGTCATACATCACACTTACCACGCACCACTTCTGCAACAACCAGTTGGCGCACCAATAATTGGCCGTATATCTGACATGACAGTTATTAGATGGAAGAAGAAAAGAAACGGTGTCTGGTACCCCGAGGACAGGCTGCGTCCAGCGCTGATACCCATGATCACGATCGTTCCGCTCTCGTGCTTTGCATCAGGCTTGCTGTCGGCATATGGGTCAGGGCGTGTAGGGCTGGCTTTAAATCTCTTCTGTTTCTTCCTGAATGGACTTGGCGTAAGCACTCCTCGTATGATACGATACTGGCCCATGCTAATGTGTTGGAAATATAGACGGAGATGGTATGGGGACCATGTGCTGCGTACATGGTCGATGTCATGCATTCGCAAAGCGCAGAGTGTATCGCTAGTAATGCGTGCGTGAATTTGTCCCTTCTTGAATGAATTTATTGCTCACCGTGTTGTATATATCCCAGAGGACTCCGGTCAGCGATCTTAGCGATCGGCGTGAGCACGATTCTACCAATGGTAAACTCGTGGGGCGTTGTGGCCACCAATACATTTGCGTCGTCCCTGACAATAATCGGCTTCCTGTGCGTTCTACTTATCATTGAGACATCGAATTTCAACTGACAGCTGGGTATCGTAGGCTTATCTGGTCACTTATTCGATACGGTGATGAGCTTAGAGCGGTAGTCGATGTAGGATTCTCGCCTTCTGGGTCAAGTGTGACGCCGTGATCGAGTACGACTCTTAATCAGTATCAGAGGCCTTCAGGATATGATATTCATATTTTCGTACGATTTAAATCCATGAACATGTGCTACAGAGCTTCGTAACGCTCAACCTCTTCCCCAAAATATTTGTCGAATAAGATATTGAACTCTGGGGCGGAAACCTCGATTCGCACAAATTCTTGGAGAGCTTCTCTTGTATCCCATTTGCACTCTCGACAGGTGAATGTTTCCCCAGAGAACGGGTTGTGATCTGTTCCCGGACATCGAATGCTGTTGAGCAGGACCTTGCCTGCTTTGCGATTGGGACCCTGTGTGGAGTCTGCGCTACACAAAATAGATGACCTTCCAAGGGTTCTATCGCAATGTGGGCATTCGGTGGGTTCGCCCGGGTCTAGAGGTATCAGACAAGCTTGTCCGGTGCATAAAACACACTTGATGGAGCCGAGCGTAAATCGGGTGGGGGTGGGGCTCGGAGAAAATCGTGCGATGGTATCCCTAATGCAGAATAAAAGCGCCACAGTCTCCCATCCGAGAACCTTGAGCTCGTCCATGTCAAGTCGCTCAGCTTGAACCAAAGCTTTGATGCCGTCTTCAAGCCAATTTGAAATACAGCAAGATCGCGCAAGTTGGATTCTCTCTATTGCTGAGAGGGCGAGGGTCACATTTGACAGGTTTTTAAGGGCAAAGTCGCGAATCTATGATGTACCCTGTTGGTTCAATGAAAGATGTGGCCATTAAATGCGATAGTGGTACCTTTGTCATTCCCCAGAGGCCTGATAGCTTCAACACGCCAATCCATTCTTCCTTTGTGAGATCGAGTTTAATCTCAGCGTTGTTCTTTGATAAGAGGGTGCTGGCGCTGAAGAGGGAATCGTGACTACAGTTATGAAAGGTTGAGCAACAAAGGTAGCGTACGTTGGATATAGCACTTTCAAAAGTGCCGTGAAATCAACTTTGCTTTGACCTGGAATCTTGACAGGACAATCTTCTGCGCTACCGTCTCCTCCTCCTAATTCTGACTTGAGGACAAGCTCTTCAAAGCTATCAGAGGCTGCTACGAACTCCTTGAGTGGAACGCAGAACACTTCATCCTCAACCTGCGTCGAAGAACCCAGCGTGTTAATGCTAATCCAGTATTTGTTGTATCAGAGTACCTTGAAGTGCATATTTCTCCAGAAAAATGAGGTATTCTTGGCGATTGCTGGATGGGGCGGGCCAGTAGCCATGAGTTCTGTGGACTGAGGGGGATGGGCAAAGTGAGAGGAAGCGTACACACTGATGCCGTTATAGTAACTCCGGTTTTGGAATTGTACCCCTGGGAATTGGTCGTTGATTCGATCAAGGCGACACCAATGCCAATTCTCGCAGTGCGATTTGATAACGACTTTTGGAAGACTTGTAAGTTCCATTGAACGAATGATAAAAAGATACACGAGACTCTTGAGACAAGCGTGAAGCTAAAGGCTTGTCACGGTTGATTGGCCGAGCGATCTAAATGGATGTACAACATTTTGGGACAGGAGGGTGAAGTGGGTCAGTCCAGGATCCTCAGAACGTGCAAGAGGCTGTAACATTGAGATGATGAAAGGCCCCAAGCCTTTGGGCGTCTAAAGGCGAAAAAAACTCCGCAGCGATGATGGCTGCTACGGTCTGACCTCGGGTAGTATATCCATTGCTGGCTGGCGAAGGGCCATTAGTGTAGTATCGTCGGATATGGTGTAACGGCTAACATTACCGCCTCTCATCTCACAGGAGAGTTTACGCGGCAGCTCGGGGTTCGATTCCCCGTTTCCGAAATTTTAGCCTTTTTGATGTCATTTGTGGCGTCATCATTCAAGTTGAATTGGTTAACCGCCTTTGGCACACACCGTCACTGACTCACAGCCCTCTGTTCTCTACCGACCAATCGATGCTGTGCTCAGTCTGGACTCTGAACTCATTTGTCGGCCATTCACAATACCCATCTTGAATTATTGTTTCTAGTGCTACTAGAGACCAGCTTTGACAGGCTTCGACCTCGGACGATGAAAAGGAAAAGGAACCCCGCTGGAGGTGACGATGACGACGCCCAGTCTCACCCTCGCAGGGTACGTGTACCCGAAAGCAACGAAGCACCTCAGGTGAGGGAGAGATGCGAATCCGATGGCGCATGGAACGGGGAATGCGAGCCACGGTCTGAAGAGTGTACAAGAGCCGCTGAAACTCGAGGGGTTGAGGTGCAGACAGGCTTTGAGGACGAGGACGGAGATTCAAGGCACAACCCTCGTTCAAGGATGTCGGCCCAGCAAACAAGGATGCCACAACCTCGGAACTCTGGTACTAAAATCAAGAATCGTGCAGAGGTCGTTATAGTCTTGCGATCTCGTCAAGATACCTCGAGAACGTACTCGAGGACTGGTACCGTATCCTGACTGCACCCTAGAGATTTTCAATGACATGTCTGACTTGGTTTATCTCTCTCTGATATAAGAACGCGAGGCCACCATTCACCCAGGAAATCTCCCGATGACAGCAAATTCGACGCAAGGTGGGGGTTGGTTTAGGTCAAAGCACCCGTGTGCGCGGTGTGTTGAGTCGGAAATACCGTGTGAACGGCAGAAGGAGCCTTTATCGCAAGCAAAGGCTGATAGGGGAACGGCGTGCTATGTGTGCAGAGCGCAGAGGTCGGAGGCTGTTTCTGCGCCTCTGGCTCGTCGCGCTGGTCGTGGAAATCCAAGAGGGATAATGAGAGACGTGGAGGCTGGTAGTGAGAATGGCGGGGGTCAACAACAGGAGGGTGACGGTAATGGTGATCGCGATCATGAGGGTCCCCTGAACGATGAGGAGTAGGCGAGAGGTGGAGCAAGGGACCCGGGAGACGCACCAGGCGATTCAACCTCTGACAGCTTGGAACCTATTCTTAAGGATCTTCTTCAAGAACTTAGGCTCTTGAGGGAGGCGCAAGCTTCTAGGGACAGGGGAATGGAAGAGATGGCGAATTCGTCCTCTGAAAGCCAGAAAACGATGATGGATGCGCTGAAGGGGATACGAGCGGACATTGGGTCGTTGCTGGCATTGGCCAAATTGACGTGTTCGGCACAGAAACGGAGGGAGGGGCCTTTGGGCTTTGGGCTTTGGGCGGGATATGAAAGTCGAGAGTGTAAATTAATGGACTGTGCCGGCGGTTGGAATCTTTTCATGGCTTATGGGATGTCACATAATAACTGTACATCGATGTGACAAGCTCGGTACTTCCATAATATGTTCTGGTAATTTGAATTCGATAGATTGGGTAAATTGACGGCCCTCGAGTAACGGCGCTAGCTCTCGTTGGAAAGCGGCTCAATTCAAAGTGAGACCAAAATTCTATTGGTGCCCAACTCCTGTACACGGTAGTCTGACACACCATTGTAACCGGGCCTGCCAGTTGATTAAGCCATTTCGATGCGGTCTGTGCACAGTTCTACTGAGACATAAACTGTACAGCTGTTAGTAAGCCACACGGGCGGCAATCGCAGATAGTTCCCTCGTCCCAATCTCAAACATTCAAATAAACTTGTCCTCGCACATCCATCTGCTCACGCAGAAAATCCCACCCCAAAGCCAAATATCAATTCCCTTGCTTGAGCAACGCTCGCCAACCAATAATCAATCATAGTCAGACTGGTTCTTGACTAAAATTCCGCACACTCGTTGCCCAAACACTATCCAACCACCCACCCATTCTTTTCATTCCATAAATAACTGAAATGATTTACAACACTCTTGACAACGTCCTCGGTACCCTTGGCCCCGTGCCTGAGCAGGGAACCACGCTTAAGCGTCTGGAAAGGCTGGGTCAAGGAGCGTTCGGGACGGTGCACAGGGTCGCTCAATATGGCGTTCCCCTCCCAAAGCGTCTCTTCAGACGCCAACATCCCATGAAACCCAAATACTTTGCGCTCAAGGCGCAACTGCGGGCAGAGGATGGAAAGCATGGGGAGACGCACCTAATGGAAGCAGACGCGCATCGCCGCGTTGCCAATCACCCCAATATCCTGGACCTGGAATACGTCTTCCAGGATAAAGTCAATACGTACTTCGTGATGGAGTACGCACCCCATGGATCCCTCTACCAGCAAATCTTCCAAAAGCACCGATATGTCGGAAAGGATGAGGCTATTAAGAGCGTGTTTGGGCAGTTGCTGGACGCGGTGACATACATGCACAGGAAGGGGGTGTATCACCGAGATTTGAAGCCGCAGAACATCCTGTGCTTCGATGAGGGTGACAGAGTCGCGATTTGTGATTTCGGTCTGGCCACCAGTCGCAGAGTGTGTACCGAGTTTGGCTCGGGGACGAAGGAGTACATGACCCCAGGTTTGTTTCAGCTCTCCTAACCACATTAGGGGATATGAGACTCACCTTGACTGTCTTCAGAGTCGCTTGTGAAAATGGGCAGGGACCATAGCAAGCCGTACTCTCCCGCAGCCAGCGACGTCTGGGCTCTAGCGCACATACTGCTAAACCTAGTCACTGGTCGCAGGATATGGACAAAAGCATCCCGCTCAAATAAAGCGTACCGCAATTACCTGAAAGCACCGTACACATTCTTCCTCGCTGCGCACCCCATCTCCGCCGCGCTCAACGAGCTGTTGGTGCAGGCGATAGATCCTAATCCCACTGCACGACTGTCGTTAAAAGAATTTAAGACGCAGTTTGAGGCGATAGAGACGTTTTATGCGCCGGGTGCGTTGTTTGAGAATGGGAGGGCGTTGAGCGAGTGGAATTGTGGAAAGCTTGAGAAACAGGAGCCTGTTGGGAGTAAGGCTGGTGGTTTGGGTTCAAACCCACCCAAGGCAGCGCTTGGCGGGGATGCTGAGAAACTCGTACCCCCCGCCCTCAACTTGGCAAACACAGTCTCCACTTCTGTCTTCAAGTTACCAAGTATCCAGAGCCCAGCAGAGGAGATTATCATTAGAAGGAGTACCAGATATACTCCATTTTTGTGATTGTGCTTCTCAACGTGGACTTGATGTCATATCGTGATTTTGCCCTTGTACCTTACTTACCTCACTATGTGTTTATTATAACCTGAAATCTTATGCTGGACGAATACGAGTGCTTGACTCCTGCGTCTGCTCTCGATTGGTTCCCTGGAACGGTATCCGTCTGGGGTTGACGACAAAAATGCTTGAACGACAACTTAAGACTCACCGTGCTATCTAAGTTTGTATCCACAAATAATGTAGACCCTGTGCCAACGGGTACGGGCTTGAACTATACTGCAGTACAACTGTGCAAGCGAATCCAGAATGCCTCGTTACTTCTACCCCACCAACTCCTCTTCCGGAGAAGCCCTCAATCACACCATACGCGCAAGTGCCGGGCCCCTGACCACAATTCAACCGTCTCTGTAATCCACAAAGCGATCCAAGCGGCCCTATTCCTATTCCTATTCCTATCCCACATCCAACTTGCACGCTGCGTCTTGCGAACGCTTGGTCGAATCCTTCCCCAGTTCCAACGGCGAGATCAGACCGCCGGACCGCCGGGAAGAGGTCTCCCCCAACGTCAAACTTCGCTCCGGTCCGCCTCGCCCTTCTCCTTCGCTATATACGATTAACATCCCTGAGCGGACGCTTTCAACACCAATGCGTCTACCAATAAAGGTTCAGATTCAAAGAAGCAGAAAGAATCAGTCATATGTCGATGTTAGATAGAAGTTCGACGCGTATCAAAGTTCCTGGTGCCGCGTCGAGCGGTTCAACCTCCCCCACCTCCTCGTATTTGCTTTGTACCTCTTTACAGGCTCCTGGTAGGAATACTACAAGAACACGAACCGGCTCGGTCTTATCTCAAGGTCCCACCCCAGCTTTCGCCCACTCATTTCGATAGAATGGACAGCTTTCATCAGAGGCTCAAGAGATAGGTATATCATACTCTGCACTCTCTGACAGCCTCGGCCTTTGGACTGGCGGTGTTGAGGACAGGGTCAGAGCGTATCCTTACCCTGTCCTGAACATCCCCAAGTCCAAAGGCCAACCTTGCGGGAACGACCTAAATAAAGTCTAACGCGGTCCCCATGCCTTAACTCGAGGGGTGTCGTTTCTTGCACTATTACTACTCTACACCACCCAATAGTATTGGCTATATTTTTGATCATTAATTAAGAGAAATAGATCGAATTTGAAAAGTACAGGCACAGCACAACGTCTCGTCTACGAATTAATAATGCTCATTGCCCATATGGCAAGTACATCGACGTCCGAGTCTAACCCACCATACCTTACACAGAATCAAGCGCAGAAGCGTAAACTCGTCATCCTACCATCACCGACCAGCACACCCTCACACCTCCAAATCATCCGCCAAACCAACATGATCCCCCTTCTCCCTCTCCCTCGCCAACCGACCCTTGCCCCGCGCCAAATCCACCTCCCTCCAGCTCTTCTCCGCCTCTCCCAGCAGCGCACCGGGCCGCTCGTACACCCGCAGGAATTTCTCAACTTCTTCCTCAAAAGCAGTGGGCGTAGAAGTAGGAGTGACGTCCCCCCCTCCAATCCGACTCAACACACCCCTAACACCACGCAAGAACGCCTCGAGCACCGCAATGTTATGCGACACCAAAAACGCATGCGCTCCCATCTCGTGCGTGTGCAGCAGGTGGTGCACATATGCCCTGGTATGCGGAGGTCTGTAAACCTCCACCTCTTTCTCCAGCTCTTCCAGACCTTGCCTCCCACTCCCCTCCACACCTAGATCTTCAGCACCTACACCTCCAGGCGAAATCCACACATCAGAATCAAATCCATGCCGTATAAGCTGCCTGTCCCCA